GTTCGGCTTTTCCAAGGTCAAAGCATTGGTTTGATTCATTTAAAAAAGAGAATGACCTTAAGATGTCTTTTGAAGCTAATGTCATATTAATAAAATTTTGTCATAATCGCAACAATTTTTTAATGGTTATGTTAATCTTGTGTGCATCTGTTTTACAAAAATTCATTGGTAGGCTTAACATGCCAAAGAGAATCGAATTAAATGACAAAATCGATGCATTTTTTAGAGCACCTATACACCACATAGCACTTTAAACGATCGGTGAATGTTAAACGTGGTTAGTGATCGTAATTTTAATAAGAACGCTGTGACGTTTGTAATAGCATAAATTTTCCTTTACACATTAGAATTGTACTGATACATATAGGTGTCTTAGTATTTTGGAATGACTACTTGTAAAAGATGTGAACATTTGGGGTTAATGATGACCTGCTCATGAGTTTTCCAAAGCATAAAGTTATAAATATTTTCGGCAAATGTAGCAAAATTTTGTACTTGCCCTCTAAATTTTTATCTTACTCCTGCAGTAGCTTAAGAATGCTACACGCATTGTAAAGAAACACTTTTGATGTTTCGGTTTTTGATCCTTTTACATTTTGAAAGGTGGCTTATTTTTGATTTTTGTCCATGGTAAATGCAATAATCCTTGTTGAATACTTAATAGTTAAATGAATTCGGAATCAGTCATGTATTTTTGGTGATTTTTTTATATAGAACAAATTTAGCAAAAAATAAAGTGATTGGATTTTGTTTTGCCTAAGATAAAAGTACAGTTATAATGAAAAAATGCAATTTAATGTTAGTTTTCGTAATAGGGCATTGGGATGGTAAAGGATTGTCGAAAACTCGGAAAGATAAATTAAAGCCTAAAAATGTGGTGCTTTGTGAGGAAAAGTAAGTCAAAGTGGACCATCATTTTAAAAGGTATCTAAAGTTTGGTCATAAGATATTCAGATGTGATCCAATGTCATACCGCATATTTCGGTTTTTTCCATTCTGATTGTTAATACACAACGCTTCGTGCCTGCTTTATATCTAATTGTTTAGCCATAGTTAGGTAATTGATTCTATAAGGAACAGCATAACTATTGTTGTGAACGAAGGAAATTGTTCTGGTAACGATTTCGACAGAAATTTTAAGTTAGCTTGATATTTTATGGCTGGGCATAAAGGATAATGACACTATAGTCGTGATCTTTTGTATCATTTCGAAACCAAACTTTCAAGCAATCTGCAGCTGCTTGAATTTGAAATTGAAATCATGTGACTATCGGTATGAGAATGAAAAGACACCTGTTAAACAAAATGGTTAATTTGATTGTATAAATTTAAGGTGAGAGTAAATACCATGCTGTTTTTTTTAATTTGTCAAAGAAAGTTTAGATAGTGTTAGTTTTTGAATTGATGAACTGGCTGTCAATTAGGTATGTAAGAATGCCAGGCGTATTGAACAGTATAAATTTGCACCAAAACAGAAATTGCCTAGAAAAACGCATCTGCTATTTAAAAATCAATGTATTTAAAAGTGAATCGAAAATGTCTCTCTATGCAGATTAGACAAGCAAGGGTAATAGAAAGGAAACTTTAACTATTGACGTTTAAATTTTGAAAAGGATAAGCTAATTTGATGCTTAAAAACACATGTATGTACTAATTGAGCATTAATCTAGACATACTATTTTTGTAAAGGAGTTTAAAAGAACATCCTTGATGGTCATCATAAATGCATTCCTGGAATTCACAATTCATGCTTCTAACTGCCGTGAAATTTGTCTTGGATAATCGAAAGTTATAGAGGCTTACATGTTATCACCTTATTCTAATCCTGACTGTAGCCACTCAGGCGCATTTTTAAGAATGGTTTTTAGTTTCAAGGTATCACAAGACACAATTCGACATGAATTTTATTGCTGCAAATGCCGATTACTCTGCTTGGCGTGAAAACAGTATCACTTATCCAAAGCTATTCCATTCAAAAAATCTCCAAAGGGCCATGTATGTTACCAATAACGTGAATGACCATCCTAATTTTTGTATATCCGATTAGTTTAAATTTAATTTATGGTAATTTTTCATCGTTAGGCTCTCACTTCAATTTTTGATGATTCATTGTGACTGGGAGATTTCTCAATGTATTTGACTTCATTTAGAGGTCCACCTTGCTAAATTTTGTTGAGGACTGGGGATCAACCTGGTGCCTCCTCAAACTCTTTTATGATACATCCACGTTAATCTAAGCTATAGATTAATAATGGGTGTAAAAATATCCATCGAAGCTCAAATAAATTAAAATTATTCTATATAGAAAACCGGGTTTTAGTTGGATCTATTCTATTTTTACTGATCTAATTTTAAAAAAAAATTACGAAAATAATGCATTGCTTTTTACTTAAAGTTCAATCTTTAAAGTCAAATTTTACTTCGAAGCTATTTATCCACTTTGATGTGCATAAGGTTGTTTAGTCTGCAGAAAACGACATAAAATTGATAATACTGATGTGTTTTATGCTAAAAACTGCGTTCTTTTTTTGCAATCTAATAGAGTGGGTAATTGCAACTACGTCGTTTAAGCTACACTAGACCAATCATCAGAAGTAGTAAAAGTACTTCAATGCCCAAACCAAACAAAGGCGAGTTCAAAGTTCAAGTTAAGATCAACCCCTCATTATATATTCAAACTAACACCTCAGTTAAAGTTCTATTTGGTAGATGCAGCAGTCAGCAGCCAATTTATTCAAAATATTCAAAGGTTTTTTTTTCAAGTTAATTTTGGGCAGTGTAAAAGATATGCTCTTCTAAATTTTTAACTTACATACCATTGCAGACAGGTTTACTAATTAATCTTAGAATAGGCTGTAAAAAATAGTATCAACAATTGTAGAATATCCATACAAATTTTTGGCCCATAATTTTTTTCCTATAATTATTATGGAGAAGAGTACCAGAAATGAAAGTTTTAAAATTGTCATGGTGCTTTTTGTTCTTCAAAAATGCTTTAAAATATTTTAACTTTTTAAGAGAAAAAAACATGGTATTTTTAGAGGCCTGATTTTTATAACATTTGTTGTTTTAATAAATCACGTTTCTCTAGCAGAACACGAGCTGTCATTTCGTATTTGTACTCGTTTGGACCGTTAGTCGCTGTGCTCTTGTGTCTCTATCGCATTAAAAATGGCTCGTACCAAACAAACCGCTCGTAAATCTACTGGTGGAAAAGCTCCTCGAAAGCAGTTGGCTACTAAAGCAGCCCGTAAATCCGCCCCATCTACTGGTGGTGTAAAGAAACCTCATCGCTACAGACCTGGTACCGTCGCGCTTCGCGAGATCCGTCGTTATCAAAAGTCAACCGAGTTGTTAATTAGAAAGCTGCCGTTCCAGCGCCTTGTACGTGAAATCGCACAAGATTTTAAAACTGATCTGCGCTTCCAAAGTGCTGCCGTTGGGGCACTGCAAGAAGCCTCCGAAGCCTACCTGGTGGGCCTTTTTGAAGATACCAACTTGTGCGCGATCCACGCCAAACGCGTTACCATTATGCCAAAGGACATCCAGTTGGCTCGTCGTATCCGTGGAGAAAGGGCTTAAATGGCCAAGCTTTTTACTGCTAGGGCACTCTTTATTCAAGACTATGTGTAATTGTAACCACCCCAATCATTCGTTGTATCCGTTGTAAGCATCAACATAAATTATACGCATTTATGAGATCTTTATCGATTAATTGTTGTACTTATTACGGAGGTCTCATCTTTGGGGTTGATCTTGGTTTGGTCTGCGGCTTTTCAGTATGTCGGATGCCGCGGTGTGTTATGGATTGATGATATCTAGTAAGTCGACATCTTTGGGCTGTCATTTAAACGGCTCTGGGTTTTTGTGGCCGGGTTTTACTTATCAGTCTGTCGATTGGTTGTTCTGGTGATTTTTGCGGGAGACCTGTGACCTCAGCGTGTGATCCAGAACCAGATTGGGTTCCCACCCTTCGGGCCTTTAAGTTTTGACAGTTCAAATAGAGTTGTCGGAGTACTTTCTCACGTTGCGTTCTTTAGTTGTAGTTAGCCGTAGTCCTTGTATCTATGTTGTGGAAGACAAGGGCTTGTTCTGAGAGCTGTGGGTATGGCTGACGCCACTCATTTGCCTTCCAAAGCACGTTTTTGTACACACCCTTCACGGTTGCGTTAGTGTCCCACTCTAGGTATGTGGAGGGTAATCTTGCTGTCAGGTTTACTTCGTTTTATTTACAACCATAAATTCATTACTGTCCCAGGATATCTCGTAAGATGGGGCTTTTTATCGTTTTATTGTTTCTATGCATGCTTTCATTGTTACCCGCGTGTCAGCGAAGGTTCGAGCCACCTAATCGTTTCTTAAGGCGCCTTTTGTACCAAAACCCCAGTGGGCTCATTAGGCTAGTACAACAGCCGGCAATTTGCACTCGTGAGCACTGTCTACACATGCCTGAAGGTCGTGGGGGCGATGAATCCAGTCACGCCTTTTCTCCATTTCGAACGGGCTCGGTCGTGACTTCATGACTCCGTACGCAGACACACGCACGTCAGCGCTAGCACCTCATGCGTGCGCACACACGCGCGCACGCAAGTTACGCGACGCAAATGCCTGTCTGTCACACTATCTCGCGTCGTAATTGGCTCACGTGCCTGCGGTGTGCGCGCGTGCTACTCCCTACTTAGAACGCACAGGCATGGCACTAAAACGAGAAATTAGCAGGTTCGAGCCCATCTCGTCATGTTTGCTCCTCAATTACTCTTCACCTGGGCCAAATTTTCTGCTCAAATTTTGTCCGCATGTTCGCGCGTTCGATACTGACCTGCTGGCAAAGTTTCATCGCTCCACGCTGAGCCCAAGGCCACAAAAAACGTGGTTTACGGAAACCGCTGCGGATTTTCGCGTGATTTGCGCGATGCAAACCGACGGTTGTGCCCCAGCGAGAAACGCATGGCTCTGGCGCAGGCGACTTAGCTGGCGAATTAACCAGCACAAATCGATGGTTGCTAGTGTGATGCGTGTGCGTGGTGTACAGACAGGCCGCTTATGCTGTGTGTCCTCAGACCGAAACCATCGTCTAAATCGATATCACCCAGCCAATCACAACGAGCATGACGCTCTCGGCTGTTGGCGTTGTGGTGGAAGGCGCTGCGTTGGGTGGCTTGCGGCGAAACAAGCATGCCTTCGCCAAATTTTTGCCTGCGAATTCGCGTCGTATGACTCAGCCACAGGGATGTTCGTCACCAAAAATGCGTATTCGGCTTCCACTGACAGAAATACAGCCATTTTTCTACCCGTTAAATTTAAAACACTTGCACATCAACCAGTTAATTAGTAATTTCGTCATATTTTTTGTTTTGGAGTAAATTTGATGGGTTTTCGCAGAAGTAACTTGAAACAGGAGGCGTTCGGATAGCTTCTTCGAATTAAGCACAAAGAATTGTTTTGTTTTCTGGGTTTCCAGTATTTAGCCGATAACTGGCTACGATGATGTTGTGGTTCCTCGTGTACGTCTGCTCCCGCGAATTTAAAACAGTCTCAGTAAGAACTTCAGGAAGTAGCTACTTTGTGTGCTTAAGCTCTGGTAAAATCACCAAGCTACTATCCATGTTAATGTGAAAATGTTTGCCTACCAGTTTTCTACTTAAATACGTCCTCAGTAGTAGCTTAAAGGGAGTTACATCCGTTCTAAAGGCTGCCGAAGCACTCCTCCCAACATCTGCCCTCGTCGGTGAATAACAAACTCTGGACGTAGCAAATAAAAACATCCAGATACCGGTAAAGTGGTGGTTTCGTGTCACGTGGGTGCCTATTGGTTGTTGAGTTGAGCACACGTGGTATGGCGCAATACTCGTTTACCATCTGATCTGTCAAATGCATCATATTTTTAGAGAGCTGAAACCACTCTAGTAGGTTTCTTTCCACTCGACGAAGTTCCTATTCCAGCAGACGGAGCACTCAGATGCCGCCGAGAGACCACGTGATTAATGTTGGGTGAGTTGAACCCGTGGGATGGTGATAACTATCACAGCCGCTGGCGACGTGATTTCTGGTATGAGTCATGAAACCGAGGTTAATTACTAGGGCGCTCCTCGTGAATTAATGTTACTTCATAGCGGATCAAGCAGTGATCACTCGAACCGTCACTGACTGACCGATGTTACGTCCCAAGTGATAAATGCTCTTTTTCGACACACGTTTCACTGCGTTGACTTATTAACCAGACAACCGAGCAGCAAGTACTGATCTGTAGCGGATTAACAGCGATCGCGCCTGAGTGAACCCTGGTTACCCACCTGACGGTGAAAATGACTCATCCCCTTTCCATTGGTTACTGTATCAGATGCCTGTCATCCGTTCACTCATCCACACACAAAGACACACTTGGCTGACGTGACGCCAATAAACGGTCGTGTTCTCGGTCGCCTCTCTTCACTCCAATCTCGGGTTGTTAACTAGAGGGTTGTAAGGTAGTGCTAGACAGCGCTTTCGTGAATAGAGGCGTACATCAGAAATGATTTGTGGCTGTTTTTGCTGATGTTCGTCGAGGCATCTTGATAAAGCACAGTCATCCGTTGTCTGGCCTGTAACTGGGTGTGCATATCACGCGCACACATCGATGACTCATAAGTTACGCATGACCTTGTAAGGCCACAACAACAGCCGCTCAGTTGAGACAGCTGAGAAGCGGTCGTGTCTCCGTCGCATTTGCTTGAAGTTACCAAATCTCCACAACCTGTGCCTTTCTATTGGTCAAATTGTGTGTGTGTGTGCGTGCGTATTTCGAACATTATGTCGAAGTGATGCAAATCCTACTCGTTTCCGATCACCATTACAGTTTTCCTTGTTTCCATTTTAAAATGGCAGGTCTGTGGCCCCATCATTCTAAATTCGAATTGGCGAACTCATTTAAAAACAGAAACTCCTGTCTTTCACACATTCGTGTAGGGTAATGAGTCAGCAATTGTCTTTCATGTAAATCGGAGGTCTGATGAAGAGGTGTTCAGGAACGAATAATCAAAAATACGTGCTGATGCAGCTGTTAAATTGTCCTCAAGGCAACTCTGTTGCAAGCTACTTTCAATGGGTTCGAACGTGCACTGCACTATTTAATGGTTCACTTATTCACCGGCCCAGTATGCAGCACACAATAATTTTTGCCGATAAGACAACCTACTAACAGTAAATAGTACTAAGGAAATTACGTGCTACGTAGTCTGAATATTCCCAAAAAGGTTTGACGTTTGAAGTTAGTTAAATGGATTCCAGTAAAAATTATGAAATAACGCAATGACTTGGACCAATGAAAACACGTCAAAATTAGGGATTTTAATGGATCACCGAGTGGGTCATGCTATTAAAGGCAACATTAGTTTAGGAGATAAAAATGTAGAGCACTATTACTGCCAATACAATCAACATGAATCGCATTTCACAGTTTGGAAGATCTTGTGGAAACAGTCCTACTTTATTCTTACAAGTAGACAGATTTAAACACCTGTTTTTCTCATTCCGACTACTTTTACCATGTGAAAAAATTGTTATCACTAGTTTCGGAGATTAAAATTTGGAACACTATTACTGCATATGTAACCGACATGAATCGCATTTTACACTGAGGAGATCTTGTGAAACATACCTACTTTATTTTTGCAAGTAGACGGATTTTGACATCATGTTTTTTGGATAATCTGACTACTTTTAAAATCGGCAGCTGTTTTTAGTTTTGCATTAGTCGGCGCTGCTTCTTCAGTGTTCTAAAAACTTCTCAAAGCCTCTCCTGTGGCATCTTTCAAACAATAGTGCGAGGCAGTATCGCCAATGATGAGATTGCATGCACGAATTGTTCTCTTAGGTAGTACTTGGCTATTAATTCTAAGCATTAATGTGCTCTATAAGTAGTATTTCCAGCAGTCAGTTACCACTGTTAAACCAGGCAGCACTCGATGCTACACTCTGATCCTCATTTGTGTGCGGAATGCAGATAAGGAATTACGGGGCTGTCAGTCGTAAACGTTAACAGAAGAGTGCAGACAAATCAACCGGTATAAAAATTTAGGTCAATTTTGCTTGGCTTAACGAATTCGACTAATTCACCAGTCATTGGAACGCGTCTAAAATGTCTTCGTGAATATCGTGCATGTCTACTTACTATAGTGAGTAGAGTGTTATTTTGATTTACAGGCGTTAAGGCTTAATTGTACTTGCATGCTATCCTGAAATATATTACGCGACCTGGTGATAAATGATATCATCCACAAGACTTTTGAAGAGTCTGTGAGCCTCTGGGCAAACGTTGGAGTCTCCCAAACAGTGTGTGCGCGTGCAGCCATTTGTCATGACGGATGTTTGCACAACCAAAGCGCTGAAATAACTCGCGTGGGCACACATTATTCATAATGACCCCAATGACCATTATGAATAATGTGCGCAGAGGGGTAGGAGGTGACTAACCGGTCGAGGGTCGCGATCTGGGGCATAATGACCTTCTCCCACCCTGCACGCCCCACCCACTGTCCCTTAATTGGGCCGGTGTAGGTCACACACACGTGCCTTCCTCTCCTTGGGTGGGTAACTAGGTCAAA